CCCCTGCGAGCCGCTGCGCGGCTCGCTTCGAGCCACTTCGTGGCTCGCCTGCTACTTTTTCTTATCAGCCACCTACTCTAAATTTTTTTGAGAAGGCTGTGCATCCCAGAAGTAAACTTGACATGCGTCTCCCCTACCGATTCCCCGGGATGCGCAATGGTTCGGTCCCCTTTATCCTACCCGCGACCACAGAGTGACACGAGATGGGGGGTGCGTGCTATCTTACCCTCCCTGCGCGCAAAGCAACTCGGGATAGTACCAAATCCCTCGTCACTTTGCTCTCTGCTCGGGTTAAGATATGAGAGTTGTACTGGGGCCTTCTTTCCTCTTTTACCTGCCCCCACATTACTCGTATCCTCTCCTCAAGTCCTTCCCTGCTCTAACACCCAATACTCACATTTTTCTCCTCCAATACTCACCCTTTCCTTTACTCTGCCACTCCTATTGTTGAACATAATTTATGTGCTCACTCAAAGCACAAATTTCGCCCCACACGCTTCACAATCCAACCATTCCATATCTACCATGATCCATCTCTAAGGTCCGACCTAAGGCTTGACACATCTTAGGTTTTTCATGTGACCGCCCATCCAACAGGGTTATGGTCACCTGTCCCAGGATCTTCACTCCGCAGGCAACCCTCTTAGCAAGCTAAGATAGGCACCGTGGGAAGTCCCTTCTTCATTCAAGAGAACATCCCGATATTAGGTAGTTAAAAAACCTCCTGTCTCTCTTGTCTAGTTTTCACTCCTTTTTGATTTTTGTTATACCCCAATTAAAAACGGGTATGCGGCCCCTATCCTGAGACTCTCCTGTGGAGCTCTCTGTCTCTCTTCACTTAAATGGAAAGGTTTCTTTCAACATAAAAGTAGCACTGAATGGCCCATACACCCATTCCCAGTTTATTGAATGACATTGACTTTGTTTGTTCTCGGACCTTGCCTCTATTTTCCAAAAGTACAAAATGTATCCAAACTGCAGGTGTGCATAAGATGCCAAAAGTAGGATTTCCCGTTTTTAATTGGGGTATAACAAAATCAAAAAGGAGTGAAAACTAGACAAGAGAGGCAGGAGGTTTTTTAACTATTTTCTTTTTTATTAAACTTTTCGACGTGACCGAGACATAGACAAAGGAAGGGGAATAGAAAAGTAGGATTTCCCTGAACTCTGTCCCATGTTGCTGGTCTGGCTGGAATGATGACTTGCATCCTTTTGCTTCGCCTAAATACTCCCCCCTCCAGGGGGCGTGCCACCCATGAGATGACCACTCTGAGTCACGTCCTGTCTTTGCTCTCACTTCTTCCCGTTTCTTGGAAAGCTCTGACCATTGACCACTTCCTGGTTCATTACTCATCAACGCAGACCATCACTGTTTGCTGGACTCAGATTATTAACATAGCTTAACAACTGTTAGAGTTGCTAAGCTAACATAAAAGGCAAATATCAGATTTTCATTGTTTCTTTATTGACACTGAAGGAAGCTCCATCTAGAAATTAATTAAGTTTTCTTATTCTCTAAAATTGCACTTAAAATTGACTGAAAACTTAATTTAATGTATTATATATATATATTTTTTTCTTTATTGCACTATTTCAAATGTACATTTATATACATACAGTCATGTGCATGATGTGTATGCAAAATAAATTATGCATTGTAACCTGTTAAAATAAAGCCACTAATGCTTGCATCTTTATCTAATGTCCTTCTTTAATGATGATCATGCCTTTGTGGGAGGGCTTTTCCAGTAGCTGGATTGCAAGCCTTGTACACAGAGCTACTAGCGCAATAATTGTCAACAACAGAGTTGGGGAATTCTTCCGGAAAACAGTTGGGGTTCGCCAGGGATGATTGTTATAGCCTGTTCTGTTCAACTTATACCAGGAGAAGATCATGCAGGACTCAGGGTTGGACAAGTCCCATTGCCCACTTGCCCAGGGCAAGTAAAAGTACTGTTCGGGCAAGTAAATATCCTCCTGTACTTGCCCGATTGGGCAAGTAAATTTTTTGGATGCCAAGTATAGCCGCTATGGTGTTTGGAGCAAAATTACTCATCATTTTGCCATATTGATATTATATTAATGCCCTTTTGTCAGAAAATCCATTGCAAGTCTCAAACCGCCTTATTTTGATAAATTAAGCATGTAGCATTATAAACTCTGAAATGAAATAATTTCCTTGCTGGTAGTAAAAATGCATAAAAATGTCATGTATATTTTGGGCAAGTGAAAAGTTGGTTCGGGCAAGTGAAAATGACCATGTACTTGCCCAATAGGGCAAGTGGATTTTTGAAAACTTGTCCAACCCTGAGGACACACTGCAAGATCATCACACCTCCATCTCCATAGGTGGACCTTGTCCCCCCAAGGACCAGGAGCTCAATGGACTAGGTAGGTAGAATTGCAAGCAAATGATGCCCAAGTTCTCAATATTTAGTATTATCACAAATAAATGAAAAGGCTCAGTTAATGTAGAAGATGGGAGAATAATACAGTGAGCAACCAATGTTGTCATCCCGTCTCAATTTTGGTAATGACAGGAGTCACAGGACCCAGGCTGTTCATTTTGTGCAGCATCATTTGTAGTGCCTGTTTCTGATAGCTGAGAGCCTTCCTGTGATCACCAAGATGGATGTTGGCAGCAACCAAGTTGTGAAGTGATAAGACAATTGCAGGATGTTCAGTGTCCTCAACATGGATTCTCCGCCTCATCTGTAGTGCCTGTTCAAGATAGCTGACGGCTTTTCTATGATCACCAAGGCCACTCCAGGCGTTACCCAAGTTGTTAAGTGACGCAGCGATGTCAGGATGTTCAGTGTCCTCACCATGGAAACTCCTCATCATCTGTAGTGACTGTTCAAAATAGCTGACGGCCTTTATGTAATCACCAAGGTCACTCCAGGCGCTACCCAAGTTGTTAAGTGATGCGGCGATGTCAGGATGTTCAGTGTCCTCACCATGGATTCTCCTCATCATCTGTAGTGACTGTTCATGATAGCTGACGGCTTTTCTATGATCACCAAGGCCACTCCAGGCGTTACCCAAGTTGTTAAGTGACTCGGCGATGTCAGGATGTTCAGTGTCCTCACCATGGATACTCCGCCTTATCTGTAGTGACTGTTCATGATAGCTGACGGCCTTTCTGTGATCACCTAGGTTCCTCCAGGCAGCGCCCAAGTTGTTAAGTAACATGGCGATGTCAGGATGTTCAGTGTCCTCACCATGGATACTCCGCCTCATCTGTAGTGTCTGTTCAAAATAGCTGATGGCCTTTCTGTAATCACCAAGCTCACTCCAGGTGGTGCCCAAGTTGTGAAGTGATGCAGCGATGTGAGGATGTTCAGTGTCCTCACCATGGATACTTAGCCTCATCTGTAGTGACTGTTCATGATAGCTGGCGGCCTTTCTGTAATCACCAAGGTGAACCCAGGCGTTACCCAAGTTGTTAAGTGACGCGGCGATGTCAGGATGTTCAGTGTCCTCACCGTGGATACTCCGCCTCATCTGTAGTGCCTGTTCGTAATAGCTGACGGCCTTTCTGTAATCACCACGTTCCCTACAGGCAACACCCAAGTTGTTAAGTGACGCAGCGATGTCAGGATGTTCAGTGTCCTCACCGTGGAAACTCCTCATCATCTGTAGTGACTGTTCATAATAGCTGACAGCCTTTCTGTGATCACCTAGCTCACTCCAGGTGGTGCCCAAGTTGTTAAGTAACATGGCGATGTCAGGATGTTTAGTGTCCTCACCATGGATACTCCGCATCATCTGTAGTGCCTGTTCAAAATAGCTGATGGCCTTTCTGTGATCACCACGGTCACTCCAGGTGGCACCCAAGTTGTGAAGTGACTTGGCGATGTCAGGATGCTCAGTGTCCTCACCATGGATACTCAACTTCATCTCTAGTGCCTGTTCATAATAGCTGACGGCCTTCATGTGATCACCAAGGTCACTCCTGGCATTACCATGAATTGCCTCCAAATTGGTGATCTCAGGATGTTCAATGTCCTCACCATGCATGCTCTTCCTCTTTTGTAGTGACTGTTCATAATAGCTGACAGCCTTGTGATTACCAAGGTCCTCCAAGGCAAGAGACCTAGCCCTTTCAGGGTGTGCAGTACCTGCACCATAAATACTCACCATCATTAAATCCTCTACTGGATGAGATCTGCTGCTAGGACTCTGTAATGAAATCTTTCTTTCACATTCATTTGCAACCTCATCCCATAAGGTAGATATCGCTATCAGGCAATTGATTCTACTTGTCAGACATTTAGAAAGTTTTCCAAAAATGTCACTTCCAAGAAAACCAGCAATATCATCTAGGAGAACTGTTGCAATGGGTCTGTTAAAGTCAAAGCTGAATGGTTTGTGCTGAGAAAAAGATTTCAATGAGTGCAACACAAACACAAGGACTGCAATAATCTGCAGTAAACCTGAATCACAGGTCTGTAGTGGAATGTCAACAAATCTCTCTCGAACCATAATGACCTTTTCACCAATGCATCCTATACCATTTATGACTCTGATTGCACAACCTGGCTGAACACTTTCTAGCATAGCTGTAAGCCACTTCCAGTATGTCTTGTCCTTCTGCAACTCACACAACATGCTGAATACCAGAGTATGATCCAATCTTACCACTGGAAATGAAGGCACTGGAACTTTCACAGGGACTTGCGGTTTGTAGGCATCACTCTTAACATTATTCATCACTGCCAACACTGGTCTGTGAGAATATCCAATGTGAGAATGTGAGAATGATTTCACAGATGTGGTTTTGTCAACTCTAACAAGAGTACCTCCTGTTACATAATTGATTATAAAATGAAGCTCATTCTCGTCTGTATCTATACCACTGATTTTTACAGGTTTCTTTGTGTTTCTTCTGTACCAGAAATCTCTGATATCTGCTAGCGCAAAAATATCAGTGATTGTAGAATTTGAAATCAGCTTATGCTCATCTCTCTCAGATGTAGGCCTTCCTTGTGTGCCTGATGATCTGGAGGACGTTTCATACGACAGTGTTGCAAATAGCAGCCAAGCCCTAATCAACGTTGTCTTTCCTGATGAGTTTGGGCCAATGATTGCTGTTGTCTCAGGGTGAAGGTGGACTGTTTTCTTGTCTTTGAAGCCCTGGAGATGCTCCACTGTTAGTGTGGCCAGTGTCCCATTCCAGTCTGTCCAACCTGTTACACATAATATGAAAATAGAAGATACATTATGATCCAGTGATCATGATTTAAAGATTATACTCCTTTATTAGTCACAATCAAATCTTGTAATTACATCTTAATTGGTATGCCATGTACATGTAGATCTTGGCAGCTTTGGTGGGTAAGAATGCCGGTTATATTGGCTCATCTATACTTACAGTGAGATGTAAATTTGTACAAGTCACACCTCCATTGGAGGTAGGGTTCTGTCAGTCATACCACAGCTCTATAAAATGTACCTAGATGTAAGTAGAATACATGAAAAAAATTCCTGAGTCTGGAAACTGGGGACGGTAATTAAATAACCAGTGTTAGAATCAAGTTCCCTAAACTTCATTCCACAGACCAGTGCCTTACCTTTAAGTTGCCCATTAAGTGATTCTTTCGAGGCTGAAGTAGAGCAGACAGGCATGGACTTATCCAGCATCCAAGGGGGTGGACCCAATACCTGTGTGCGCATGTGATGTGACAATAAGTATTCACTACATGGTCTCTTTGGTTCTCAAACTTAAGGAGAACTTAAGTAGTGAAATGGATGTTTTCCAATGGATAGTAATTCTAAGAAGTAAAATGCTATACTGCTCTATGTACAGTATATGATATAATATGAATCTTTATTGTATGAGTCTATATAATAAAATAACTCACTAGTCACATGTCCTGTGAGGGGTAGTTCAAGCTGGTCAACATTGGCAAGCTCTACATCACTAGAACTGATGATATTCTTGCTCCTACTGTGTAAGGAGTATTACATGAACAGAAATATTTTCTCAACATACAACCTACCTACTCAGTACCGTCTCACCTTAAAGATGTCCACAAAGATGCGGTCCTTGAGACAGTCGATCTCGTGGTACCAGATGATGACCCCGAGGCCGTGCAGGTAGCGGAGAATCTCCTCTGCATCCTCTCGGCTCCGCACCTCCGTCTCTCTCAAGATCCGCTCAACTGCATCCGACAGCTTCATGTCACCTGTAACCAGACATTCATGTGAACTGTGTGGAATATGGAACTGCCTAAGGTGTGACTAGCATCAACTAACCCAACTGAAAGCACATACTGATGAAGTTTTATAGGAAACGTTACGTTTGCAAATCAAAAGAGACTATCCAAGGAATCAAAAGGAAGTGGTCTGTTGTACCATGCTTGAAGACAGAGTTGTCACCACGACCCTTGTAATCCATCAGGAGGTTTTCCACTTCTTTCCAGGCACGTGGAATCGTCCTGCCAACCTGAAGGATTGCAATGAAGCAGTTCATGAAGAATATCACAAAACTGGGCAAAAATTTACTACAATTATTGCACAAGGTGTCATTAGAGCTACACCAGCTGCTATATTATGACTGTGAATCGCATATGAAGTCTCAATCGGTTCACCAACCTGAGCAAAATAGTCCTGGCCTGTGACAATCTCCATCAACTCTTCCCTCAACCTGCCAAACCCCAACAGACCCTCACCGGAACTCAGGGAGATGCCCACCGGCCAGATCTGATGGCGGATCAAAAGTAGAGCAGATCAAAATCAGTGAAGAGATAGACATTGCATGCTCAGCCTGAAATATATGCCTGTGTCACAGACATTTTTCCTTTTTTCTAAACTGTACATCATGAATACAAAGACCTTATAGTAACAAAGTGCTGTAATAAGCCTTAGCTAAATTAGGTTTCACAAAAATCTAATAGTTATAGCTGCTGTTGCTGATGAATCAACGCACCCTGAGTTTGACATGAGCTTTGTTCCTGAGTGGTTCCAGCTGGGTTTCTGCCTCTGCCAGGGTCAGGACTCCTCCCTCCTCCTTCTCCTCCAGCTCTGCAATCCTGAGGCTGATGTTCCTCAGTCTACAGGAAATATCAGGACAAATGCCAGAATTACCTGTGACTGCCTTGACATGCAGGCATGTGATAAAGATACAATGACTGATAAAATTTACAACAAGAAATGACCTAAATTGTATCACCTCTCATCCTCACCCTCCCCTATCCTTCTCAGGATGTCTTTCAGCTTTTTGTCGGCGACTTCTTGTCCGATCTTGTCCAGATGAGTTCCCACCACCAGGACCACAGCGTTGGGAACTCTCATGGCGACGTTTTCTATCCACACCCCAACATGTTTCCTGTAGGAGTCCACACTGTCTGGCCTGGAAAGCACAGGGAAAGGGGTTGAGGGTGTACATGTAACATCTGTGTACATAATATCACCAGGGTACATAATATCGCCACCTTGAGAAATACTATCTAAATTTTAAAGAGATTTTTACTGCATGGTCCTACATTTGAGGTATGTATAGGAGTGCATACCAAAAGTATGTTGCAGTAAAAATATCTTTAAGCACACTGTTTCTCAAGGTGGTGATATTATGTACCCTGGTGATATTATGTACACAGATGTTACATGTATCATCAATTTAGTTAGTACTACATATTTCAGCTTTTGACATAACTTGATAAAAAAGGGCTTGCTGCAGTTTAAACTTATAAACTAAGGTACAGTAGGCAACTCACTGATATTGCAGAAGGTTGACCACCAGCAGCACCAGAGCGTCCTTGGTGATGAAGACAGGGTGAGTAACCTGTACACACCTGTAGTACACCTGTACTCACCTGTATGTCTCCAGGTTGACCACCAGCAGCACCAGAGCGTCCTTAGTGATGAAGACAGGGTGAGTGACCAGGTAGTCCTGCTGTCCTGCGAAGTCCCACGTCAGGAAGGTGACGTCCCCCTCCGTGATTTCGTGTGCATCGATGCCGACAGTCCGATCATCCGGGTCTGCGAGTTGTGATGTTCCCTCCTTCAGCGAATGGCACAAGCTGGTTTTCCCTGCACCTGTTTGGTACAGAAAACAGCAGAAATCTATGTTTATTTCACTTCACTGCATGTAGGAAATGCTACCACCAGTACCACAGGTGGTCAATCAGCATATTGTACTTTCCTTCTTAGTTATTCATTTCAATGTACTTTGCACTCACATGAAAAATGAATCCCAACAAACACTAACAATCAGGTTAACCAGGATTTCAGTACCAAGGAAAGGGTTGATTGTAGACTTACATTGAAACTGAAAAACCAAGTTTAGCAACTGTACCTAGTGCTTTGTACCATGTACACATTCAGGTTCAGGTCCGTATGCAGGTGAATATGACACAATTTTTTTTCTTCAAGGTTCCAAACATTCCTTTTTTTTACTTGAAACGAAACGTTTTTACAAGTTGGGAACCGATCCAGTGCACCGATACACAGCACTAATTGCACCTTTTTCTCCAAGCAACACGAGCTTCAGTCGTTTGTCGTTGATGTTCTCAGATGATTCGCTGATCTGTCTGCAATAACTCTTTATCGCCTCAATGCCTGTAGTTACAGAGAAAGTTAAAGAACAATGTTATTTCTTATGTATGTCTTAAAGGACTGACATGTATTTCAAGAATAGATCAGGTTTTGACCTTGTTATTTCTTCCATCTAAAAGTCAGGATGGTTTGAAACTCACCCCTGCTGCACACTTCCAGTGGAGGCTGTTGTAGGGGGTTGTCCTCTGCCTGGAAGAGTTCCAGTGGTTTCTCAAAAAACTCCAGGGGAACCTCTGTGATCTTGTTGCCGGAGATACAGACTTGCCTGATGCTGGGCAGCTGCAGAAGTTGTGGAGGGAAGGAGGAGAACTTGTTACTGGAGATCTTCAGATACTCCAGATTCTCCAGCTGTGCCAGGTCCTCAGGCAGAGACTTCAGCTTGTTGGAGCCAATCCGAAGGTTCTTCAGCTTCCGAAGACGCGGAAACACACCTGAAGGAACAAAAAAAGTTTATGTGTTAAGAAATGGCAGCAAATGACTTTGTGAATAAAAGATAGATGTCCTCATCCAGAATATTTTTATGTTGGTGAAGGTTAGACATCCAGGTAATAAGATTCGCCAAAAGACGGTTACTACAGCAACTGGATATGATTTTGAAAACAGGTAGCCTCCACTTTTGTCAGTGACACTGGAGAGTTGTCAGAAAAGCAGGTTTATAAGCACGAATCATGGATCGATATGCAAATAAGTGAAGACAAATTTTTTTACAGGAAAAATGAAACAAAAGTTAGACAAGGATGATGCAAATTATCCAAGAAGCTCCTGTTGTTTCAGAATAGGAGTTTAAGTGTTGTCTGTCCTCAGGGCTGGGAGCGGCAAGTCCCAAGTGCCTGCAAGTTCTCACCTGAAGGAATCTCCTCCACCTGGTTTACGGAGAAGCGAAGAACCTCAAGGTCACGGAACTCCTTAATCTCTTCCGGAAACTTCCTGAAGACGTTGTTTCCAAGATCCAAATTCTTGATCTTCTTCAGCTGGGTGAATTCTGCAGTGAGACTTTTCAGTTTGTTCCGATCCAGTTTCACATCAGTAACCTTCAAGTAAAAAATATGATGTTAAACAAGGACTGAAGAAGTGTAAATTTTCTCATTGATTATGCAAATAACATCCTCATTTGTATGAATTATATGAGTTGATCATATTTTCCACCCAATGACAGTCTCATCTTAACAAAAAAATGCTGTCTAGCATTAAGTCATACTGTTTTCCTTGACTTAACTTCCAAATGCAGTATATATGAAATTCTCAAAAATTACCACTATAAATTACAGCAATTTCTCATCATTTATACAAATTAGGTCTTCATTTACTAGTAGTAGTAAAGGTAATCAATATCTGCCGATGTTCCTCTCATTCTCAATTACATATGATTGTCACAAGTTTAAATAGTCCTATGTTGGAACAGAATTAAAACATTTCATTACCATCGCCAAGAAGGTTATGTTTTCAGGGGCATTTGTGTGTGTGTGTGTTAATTTGTGTGTATAAACATGATATTAACTGGAGAAGGCCTTGATGGATTGTCTTTATACTTGGTAGGTGGGTACATGTAGGTCTTCATGACACCTCAAAATAATTAGATTTTGGACCCCCTAGCGGATTGTTATGGTACTGCAGCTGAACTTCCGGTTTTGATATCTCATGATCTAGACATGCTAGGGTGACGAAATTTGGATGGTAGGTAGCTCTTGTGCTGGGGAAGAAGTGACGTGAGTTTGGGCCCCCTAGCGGTTTGCCCTGGAACTGCAGGGCTATCTGTTTGATTAAGAAGAGGATAACTTAAGAACCAGTTGACAGATATGGTGTGTCTTGATTTTTGGTATGTGGGTAGCTTATGTGATGCTTGATATAATTATGTGAAAATTATGCAAATATGGATGTAGTTTGCATAATTTATGAGGAAATTCTATAAATATAAATCAGCTGCATTCCATGATAGGACATGAACACAACAGCTGGCGACTCGATGAGGGGTGTTAAAACAACACATAACCAAACATCTGCTTGGAGAAAACCGGTTCCACAAGTTTCTGAAATACATGTATTACATTACCTATTACCTATGTGCATTACAGTGCGAACATGTACAGGACAAACAGATCACAATACTCTTTCACGGCAATATACATGTATCTTGGACAGGTATCTGTTGCACACAAATGCCCAACAGCTGCACCCACCTGTGAGAAGATGCTGACGCCGGCAGGTATCTTCTTCATCCTGTTGACGGACAGGTGCAGCTGAGACACCTTCTCGGTCCTCGGGTCGCTCCTTAAGAAGTCTGGGAAGCAGGGAGGGTCCTTACTCTTCATGGTCAGGCTGTAGGTTCCGTCGGTCAGAGGCTTCCACTCAAAACTGCAGTCTGGAAACTCCAGCTTATCCATTTGGATGCCATCCCCGAGTAACTCAGCATCTCTCCAGTAGGCCTGCCCATTCTGGAACAGTTTCTCCTGCACCTTGACATGTCTCGTGTTTGTCATCATCTTCGAGACTTTTCTCCTGGCCTGGAACACATTCAAACAATAGAGAAATTAATTTCAAAGTCACAGACAGTCTCCAAGCAGATGTTAGAAGGCAAAATAATTCTACCACCTGCTTGGAGATATGGAAGATCCCACTGAAACTAGAGTTTGCTTTCCTTTGATCTCATACTCATAGATGTTATTTATACATGAATAGGTGCAATGTAACTAAATTCCCTTTGATATGATTGAAGTTACATATGGTCATACCCAATTTGTTCTCATCCAAACTTTGCAGAAACCCCAACAATAAGGGGATGAAGTACATGTAAAAAAAGTACAGGCTTGACATTAAAGCATGGCGATTTGCTGACAAGAAAATTATCAAAATAAACCACCATTAACAAGTGTGTATTTATACCACTTCCTTACAAATTCAGTCAGCATAAGGTGCATGTCAAAATGTATTATAACAAACAGTACATAAATTCTATATAATTTGACAAATATAAAATAAAATTCTTGTGTTCCCACCTTAAACACTTTTTCCTTGACCCTCTCGGCATACTTGATGCGGTGTGTCAGCGTTTCTCTGCCGTCTGAATCTTCACAGCGGTCCAGCGCCGCTTGGTACAGACCTGCTGCTCTGGTGAAGACTGCCTCGTCCTTCCCAACCCTTCCTTTCTCCAGGTACAGGTCTCCAAGGCTCTTTAAAGACTCTACTTGCAGGCATTTATTTCTGTCCACAATTGCTTGTACTAAGGACTTTGTATAGCCTTCAAACCTCGTCTTTTTTTCCACTTTGCCAAGGATCTTTGACACACCCGATATGGTTTTGTCTGAATTTGTAGCATGCACTTTTACAATCTCTTTGCCATGGACCAATTTTGTGCATTTCTCTGCATATTTGATGCGATGTTCTACAACTTGCTTCTCCTCAACACTTGTGTAATATCGTAAGAGTTCTGTGAATAATGAGCAGGCCTTGTGGAAGTTTTCAACTTTATCAGTGTTCATCTTTGCTTTGTGTAGGTATAAATCTCCAAGACTTTTTAAGGCTTCGCACTCCAAAACTTCATTTTGAGTACTTATAGCAAGAATCAACTTGCGTGTGTATCCCCTCTCTACAACATCTAAATCAACACCACTCCTAAAGATAAAGTCCAACTCACAAAACTCCTCCGCAACTGTTTTTGTTTTTTCCATGACTGTATCCTCACTTTACATTGTAAAAAAAAAAAATATTCTTAAATTTCATGCATATCCAATGCAAAGTTGAGGATCCTTGTGCTTCTGTTTATCAGTGGCCTCACATCACTGATTCCTCTTGTTGCATGATCTTGGTGTGACACTGTCTGTGGGTGAGGGTGTTTGACCTGAAGAACAATCAATCAACCTTCATCAGTGTTTGTGAGACAAAGGCTGTAACAAAAATGTACAAAGTACAACATGTATACTGATTAGGCCTAGGGAAAAAAATGTTACATTTCCTTTTTTCAGTCCTGAAAAAAATAGGGTTGGTAGGTAGAGATTATCATTATTTATTATGTTTACCAAAGGAAAGCATATTGTTTTTGCTCAATTTCTTCTTCTTCCATTCCAAACACCTAAAAAACATCGATATTTTTGTAATTAGAGCCTGCAAGAAAATAAAATTCAGTGTGATGGTAGATTGGTAAATAAGACACTGAACTTTGGTCATTTTGGCCAACATAGATGTCAAAAAATGATTTTATTGGCAAAAAATGGGTGAAAAAGTTGCATTTTAAGCCAAAAATAGAACTTTAAAACCCGTTTCGAATTTTAGAACAACGTTCGAATTCAGAGTTCGGCGACCGCGGGTCAATGACCCCGGCGCTACGGAACACAAGGGCTTTTCAAATACAATGTATAAGCATAAATTTGTATGCGAGACCATTCAGAGGTAAGCATATTGCATTTGCTTGCAAATGTTACCTTTCTAGTTTGTTTCTTTTTTTTAAACTTCGGCAATCTCTTAGTGATCCAACTTATATGATACAGTTTAACTTGCATGAGAACACTTACATTTTCAATGTCAGTGTTGGAAAACTGATTGTACATTTCATCACTAAGGTGTCAGATCATGGAGCTAGAAAAGGTTGATCAGCTTTAAAAATTTATGTCCCTATAGCTGGGGTCCACCTAAAAAAAAAGAAAGAAAGAAAAGAATAGGGTCGGTCGAGAAACATGAAACATAACATTTTTTTCCGAGGCCTTATGTTTAACAAAATCAACAGTATTTTCCACAAATGTCAGCTTACCCATATTGTCAAAATATCATTGGGAACAGTAGTAACAGCTTTTGAAAGTTCCAAACATAATATCTTACATCTGAACCAGTACATTATGTATACATAATCGTCATTTGAGTTTGCTACAACTAAGTACAAGAAAAGAAATGCTGGTGGGGGGGGGGGGGGTGAACTGGTTACTGTGGGATACAATTCAGTCTGAACACTGTTATTAATACTATATAGCCTAGCTGCCTCCAAAACATTTCTAATTTCTGCTTTATTAACTACTTTATTAACTGGTGTGTTTTCTTCTGTACCTTGTTCTCTAAAGTTGGTGAGACCTGGATAACCAATAGGGCAGACAACGTCCACAAGGACTTCCCAGGATGAATTTCTAATGTTTATGAATTCATTACAATCTACAATTTGTAGTGAGGAGATAAAATGTATTGAATAAAATGAATTGGAATGCCATTTTCAACAATATTTGAATCAAAACTAAAATTTGGGGTAGTGCTGTGTACCGGTTTGCTGGACCGGTTCCGGACTTGTAAAAATGTTTGGTTCAAGTCCAAAACATGTCATTCAAGAACCGATTCCGGACTTATTACAAAAAAAATGTCACATACTACTTTTCTTTCCAATTCCCAAACCCCCTAATAAAACCTTCCATAGATTACATTGTAGATTACAAAGTCTGTGCTGCAAAATGAAGAAGACATTGCCATCAGGCATTGTCAAGTGTTGGCCTCCATGTTATGTGGCCAAAGTTCTGCACAAACAACATTGCAAGGTTGCCAACATGCAATTTTGTATATGCCATGAGTTAAGGTCCAGACGTACGAGTACAGAACTGAACCTAAACCTCTGGACTTGAATCCGGACCTGAACCTAAATGTGGGTTTAGGTACAGTACACAGCACTAATTGGGGGTATGGATGGGACAGGTAGGGGTTTTATTGTGCTATATCAGGCAAGGTCTTTTTTACAGAAATGGTGTATATGGTGGTTTGGTATATGCCAATAGAGTCTGAGACTTGTAATAAACCATCACAATTAGTGTTGCATACCTAAACCCACATTTAGGTTCAGGTCCGGATTCAAGTCCAGAGGTTTAGGTTCAGTTCCGGACTTGTAAGTCCGGACCTAAACCCATGGCATATTCAAAATTGCATGTTTGCAACCTTGCAATGTTGTCTGGGTGAAACTTTGGCCACATAAGATGGAGGCCGGTACTTGACGATGCCCGATGGCAATGTTTTCTTGATTTTGCAGCAAAGATTTTGCAATCTACGGAAGGTTTTAGGTGGTTTGGAAAGAAAAGGGGTATGTGAAATGGTCTTTTATGTTAATAAGTCTGGACTCGGTTCTTGACTTTTAGGTTTTTTTGGACTTGAACCTAAACATTCTTACAAGTCCGGATCCAAGTCCAGTGAACCGGTATGCATCACTAATCACAATTAGAAGCTTATTGATCTACATAGTGTAGAAGTTAAGAGGGGGTACGGAGGGGACATGAAGTTTTTGAAAAATGCAGCCCATACTTTAATGCGTCAGATGAAAGTCGTGTTGGTCTCTTTTTACTTCTCTTCTCTTACGAAACATCATATCAAAACTTAACATGTCAAACTAACATTGATAACAGCATAACTGAACAATGCTATAGACTACTAAGTAATCTTCAGGTAAATATCACATTAAAACTGGTAAAGTGAAATGTGGGTATATACTATAAGTAAACAAAATAACCCTGCTGGCCCTAAAAAAAATTGGTATATGTTCAAAAAAGGGTAATAAATGTCTAGTTAACATATAGCTGCTTGTATAAAATAAGAAATTTCAAGGTAGCAACTGAGATCGCAGAATATATTGGCATATCCCAGAACCTGCCATAGACAGAAAAAGCAATTTAGTCTTCTTCAGTTTTCGTGTCGAACTTCATTAGGTCGAAGGTTGTGGTTGAAGTCCTTGTTTAACGTCTATTGTACTCGCTACACGTAGTCTTAGTGCTCTTTCTGGTGCTTTTTGGTTGTGGTTACCCAGGTGCTTGTTCATTGGTGCTTTTGACTTGACATGACTCATGACATGGGGGGGGGGGGGGATAGCAGTTAAGAGGGGGTACGGTAAAAGCGACTCTTGATTCAGCGACTCTTGATTCAGGCTTACAGTTCCCTCAGCAAGAGTCGTGGAAAGATCCATTGGCAGAACTGCACATTTCCCGTTGGCTGCCCGATGCTCCGTTTTCGCCCCGTTTTTTTTCTGTCCCGAGCTTCCCTACAGTATAAAACCAAGGCAGAACCGGACATTCCTGACTATATACAAGATGGTCGCCCGGGTTGAAAAACACCGATGTAAGGTTACAAACTGGCTGACTGTCAGGAACAGAATCCAACAGAGAAGCCTTGTCACTTTTAAACGTATCATGCTCACCAAACGACCAAAGGCCTTGTACGACAAAATCATTCCAATCTGAGATTCACAAGTACCGAACACGCTCAACCTAAAGGTCCACCTTCTTTAGGTTCTGACCTTTAGCAAGACCAGGCACTGCCTCGTCACTAATGGCATTGTGACTGAGATCTATCTCCTCCAAGTTGGGGAGGGGAGGTAAGAAGTCTCCCCTGTCAGACAACTTGTTATAGCTAAGATTCACCTTCTTCAGGTTCTGACATGGACCAATACATTTAGTAAGACCAGGCACTGCCTCATCTGTACAAACAAAATCAGACTACCAAAACCAAAATCCAACTCTCAGAAAAAGCGCTTTCTGTACAGAATGTCACAGTTGTGGAATAACACAGGCGGCAACTAGCAAAGTACTGGATTGTAAATAGTGTATTTAAGGAATTGTACATACTGTTAACTTTGTAATGTTTTTGTAGGTTCCTCTTCAATATTGTAATACCTCTTCAATTATTATACATGTATGAATGTAATGTGGAATAACATACGCAACTAGCAAAGTACTGGATTGTAAATAGTGAATTGTGTAAAGTTTGCCATGTACTGTTAATTTTGTAATGTTTTTGTTACGTTGTAATACATGTATGTAAATATGAATGTGTAGACCATAGGAAGAATAGCCTCTTATGAGGCTAATATTGTGGATCTGAATAAGGTCTCGTACGCCAATTTCGCTGTCCCGTAGACTTACACGTTAAAATAGGCCACCATTTGGGCTGTCAATCCAATCAAAAAATCGTATATCAACAGATTTTTTGCTGTCTATACCAAGCACACGTATCATGTAAACGATAAAAAAATTTTTCCCCAATTCTAACCGCTAGTTCGATATTTACGTCATGTATAACTGCAATTACCCATGACCCAGAAGAGGCCCTCTTTTGCAATACTCAGGTCAAAATAAGCGTATACGTCCGACAATCGCTCGGACGCCGAAACGTCCCTGCCTGATCCTGTCAGTAATAAACAGGCTTTCACCTCAAATCCTTTTTAGATCAGGTCTGAGTGATGAAAGGGATTTTATGGTGGACCTAAACTCATGCTGTTCGGGCACAATCATTTTTTTGTCGGGACTCTTTTAGACCCTACACGTGCGGAGTAATTGCGGTATGAGACCATAAAACTCTGCGTGGACTTCCTCTTTTACACCTGATTAACATTTTTACGACCAAAATTCTCAAATATAATTTTCTGCTGAACACAGAGATTTTTTCAAACAAATCATAAAAAGAGAAATTCATCATTCAAAAGTTTATGTTTCTTGCTTCCCCCCGTAGTCAGTAATAGTGGACTAGTCTGGTTCCGGGGAATACCCGTGTATTCCGGAACTTTGGGCAACTACTAGCACTTTTAAAACTGATCAGGTGCACGATGTAAAAGAGGAACGCAGCTAGTAGCTGCCTGGACTTCCTCTTTTACACCTGATCAGTTTTTTAAGTCCGCTAAATTATAGATGAGGGGGGAAAGTATGAAACTTGCGGGGAAAAAATATGAAACCTGAGGGGGAAATTAAAGTATTAAAATTGAAGGGGAAGAGTATCAAAATTGAGGGGCATGTTATCTATTTCCACTCTTTCTAGTAAATTCTAAAGCCTGTACTACTGTGTAACACAGACTCGACAGAGAAAGGAGTAACTCGAAGGTTGACTCTGACCCCCGAAATCGAACCCGCGCGGCGTGTACGCGTGTCACAAAAGATCCAGGATCCCTTAGGCAGGTAGTTTGTGACGCCTATATACTCGCTGTTACAACTGTAAAAAGCGTGTACTTACTAACATCTTGGCAGATCGGAGTAATTTTGGGTCCAAGGCAATCCAATATGGCGGGCTGCCCTGCTGCGCAAGTTTTACCAGTTTTTTCAAGGCGGCACAACACAGTTTTAGCCCTATGGGGATTTCTATAGTTAAGGACCCCAAAGTGACTCACTTCGACTCACAGAAAATCATAGTAGGGTGCACAAGCAAGGTTCAGATTTTTAATATGTTTAATTTCAGGGTATAGTGTACAACATGTGCGAAAATGAGCTTAAATTTGCCGGCTAGTTTTCTTCTCGCGCCCTCTTTTATTAGCGCCACTGCGGAGGTCATGGAACTGCAGCCGACGCACAGTACTAGGCGGGACAAGTATCCAAGCGCAAATCTACGCCGACTGAACACGCACCGTAATTCAACTTTTACAGTCTCAAAACTGACGTATTCCTCTAACACTTACCACAGGTTCTATCTCGATGCCATGCACAAAACAATCTCTGCACCCTTCTCTAGTATTGTGCAGCACTACTTTGTGCCCGGACTACTTTTGAAATACTGTGTTGTGCGGCCTTACCAGTTTTCGGCGGGGTCGGCACAGCAGCGGCGGTACCACTGTACGGTGGGACCAAATAGCTTCATGACAGTAAACCAAGATCGTTGCCTTGGAGACCTTGGGTCATGACGCGAACAGAATCAGAGTAAATCAAGGTATTAAAATGTAAAAAGACGTCTCTTTTGGTTTACATGACTTAAACTTATTTCAGTTTAATTCTACGTAACAGCTACCTTGTACCCTACAAGAGGAGCGCAATGGTTCGCTCCACAGTGCAGGTTGTTTTACCCCCCGCCGAGTCTTATCGCACAAAATAAACACAGATAGCTCAGTTTTACGGCCTGGTTACACGCTCGTCCCCAGCAGTCCGTAGAGAAGCCATAGAATAATGTCACCCCAGGCTATGAAAAATATACTTTCTTTGATGCATATCTGTCTGTTTTGTTTTGTTCCTTTCCAGAAGACTAATGATAACCGCTGGTCGGATAAGGTCTCAATCGTGAGTTTTTGTTAACTATAGCTGCCTATGGCAAAATACGTAACTTTACATAGGCCAAAACCCAATAATTTGAATGACAGCCATCTAGTCTATCCAATCAATTTTGAGCACAATGGCCCTACATTACGTCAAAAAATTCCCAACCAGATCTAACCCAACAATCTCTTTTTATTTATTTATAAACTGCACTTGGCCACTCTCCGCCAGAGGTCCTCCAGCGCTGCTACCTCCTGACCGCATTACCCATCACAACAGCGTGTAAACATCCGACCTGTCGCGCGGATGTCAACACTTACCCACTAATTTTAGCACATACAAACAACCTCTCATATCACAAGCGGTTTACGCCAACTGACTTAGCTAAAATGCAATTTCTGGCGGATATAAACACACATCCATACACGCATTTAATTTTTAGTACGATCTACTTTAGAACCACGCGGAAGAATACCGGAATGAGACCTTAAGTATAATTGAGTTCTTACAAAAATTGACAAATTAAAGAGCAAGTACCCCTCCATCATTCCTGTAAGTTATTCTGTCATACGTCATCGCGTTACCTGGTTTACAGGTGGTTGAAACCGTGTCTGAATTTGACCCTAGCAGCGCCACCTATCATATTAGGGTCAAAGTACAAAAGGGGAAGACCGGAAAGGAAGTTAATAATCCGGCTCTGCGCATGACGTGTTGGAAACTGTATAAGACTTATTTTTTTATGTGTTGGTCAGAGTAGCGTGCTCTCTGCGTACCACCTCAATTCAATCGTGAATTTACGGCAAAGAACAGACGTGAGCGATACAAAACTTCAAGTAACGGTATGGCAAGGAAGAGGAGACGAGACAAAGGCCATAACCCCGGGTGGTTTTTGAAAAACTGCAATAATGTTCCAGCGAAGAAACCGCGTCTCACAGAGGAAGACGAAGCACGATTTGAAAAGATTCGTCGCCACAAAAGGGACGTGTGGACACTGGCGCGGGATGAGGATGTCAACAGTACACCAGGTAGGCTACGGCCCTTACCCGCAGGTCCGACAGAAGTCGAGAAGTTGGAGGTTGGTAGTAGCAAAGTTGAGGAAAATATATCAGAGGATAGACAATTTCATGTGCCTCTCCTTATGAACTTGATAAATGACTTCCTGCAACAGCATTCTCAGGAGAGTTCTGCGTGTTTTCCCCAATGCGTCATGCCCCCAGATGGAGAGCAACCTCGTGGCTTCGTATTCAAGGAGACTTTAAAATGTGCCCGGTGCGGTTTCAAAATTGGCCCCGTTAAACTGTACGAAGAAAGCGAGCGCCTTCCCGGTAGATCTATAGGCCCTAAACCGGCTAAAAAGAACGTGCAGTTTGCAATAGGGCTCACTAAAGTCGGCATAGGAATCACGGGAGCAAAAACCTTGATAAGCAGCATGGACTCACGCACGCCCACTCTGTCCACCATGCACAATTTGATGACGGGCGTATGTGATTCCATGGAGAACATCCTCAAAATGTCTTTGGAGGAGAACAGGAGGAAGCTCCGCGATGCCTTGAAGTTGCGTGGATGGAAGGTGGAAGAGGGGAAACCCATAGCAGTTGCCGCTTCAGCCGACGCCTGCTTCAACAATCCGTCCTTCTACGGCGTGTCGCAACGAGCGACGCAAGCTGTCTTCCCCGTGTTCGAGGCAGAAACCCCTGAGCAATTGCTTATTGGGTGGGGGTTTGCCAACAAGCTCTGTAAGAAAGGGGAGATGCTAAGGGCGGAAGGAGTTGAAAACCCATGTCCTGGTCATGATGGGCACTGCTCTGCTAACTTCAAAGCAGGAGAACCCATCGGTAACGCCGTAAAACACAGTGTAAAACACAGCAAAAGTTGCAGTGTAAAACACCAAAAGTTGCAGTGTAAAACACAGCAAAAGTTGCAGTGTAAAACACAGCAAAAGTTGCAGTGTAAAACACCAAAAGTTGCAGTGTAAAACACCAAAAGTTGCAGTGTAAAACACAGCAAAAGTTGCAGTGTAAAACACAGCAAAAGTTGCAGTGTAAAACACCCAAAGTTGCAGTGTAAAACACCAAAAGTTGCAGTGTAAAACACCAAAAGTTGCGGTGTAAAACACCAAAAGTTGCGGTGTAAAATTTTGTTCTTGTCGGCCACGGTACGACCGGGCCACTCGGGTATGCCGCATGGTGCCGGGGTAAAATGAGCACTTGTACATGTTGTATGTACCAGTTTTTCTATTGCTGGCTCCCCCGCGTGCATGCGCCACTGATGGCTTGCAAACACTTCAATTTGTTTATGGTGAAACACCTGTGCTATAAATAACTAATACTAGGCTCGATGAAGGCAGGTACGTGACTGTCAAATTTAACCTAGTCTACATGAACTTTAATGAGTAGGCCGACCAGATGGCGTTAGTGTTGTGCGGGGTGCAAATAAACATGAATCCGTGCTGCAGCTGCGTACTTACAAGTTACAGGGCTGCGGACACGCAGATCACCCCACACGGGTTGGACTTGAGTTATTACAGGTAAAATCAGAGCACGCCGAATACTTCAGGACAATGTAGACCAGTCCTGTAATAGGCTGACTTCGAGCCGGTCGGTACGAAGTTTGTACTGTTTGTGGCAGCAAGGAGGAGAAACAGTCTTATCGTGAGTGATTCTTTCTTCCTTTTTTGGTGACCTTGTGTTTTATCCAGAGCCGTGTTTTATCCAGAATCATGCTCAGGCACGGTGCTGGATAGTCCACGTGCATCCAGAACCGTACCTGTGAAAATCTACGTTCTTGGATACGCGGAGACTATCCAGAACCGTGCCTGATCCTAACATTCAGGTCTAGAACTAGACAAGCACGGAACTGGGCACAATACTTTAATGTTGTAGACAACATCTGGGTTTTAGGGTTAAAACATGGTGAGGTCCGTTTGGGCCCATTTGGCTGGATTCCTCACAAAAATGCTGCATTGATAGACACAACTAATTAGTAGAGCACCAATAGGGATTAGCTAACCAAAGAGTAACCACATGTCGAATTTCTGCCGTCTAGGCAAAATGTCTAACAAAATGAAGAGGTTGCTGGTTCTTCTGCTGATCCTCCTAAAGGAAGCTGGCCCGGCCGCAGCCCACAACTGCGACTGTTCATCATCTTGGTGTTCCTGCAGCAACAGAGGCCTCACCAGTGTTCCTCAGAACCTGACGACAACCATCACTATCCTGTACCTGCGGGGCAACTCCATCACAACCTTAAGTCAGTCCGACTTCTCCAGGTACAGCAGCCTGACATGGTTAGATCTTCAATACAACCAGATCTCCGTAATCAACAGCGGAGCGTTCTACAGATTATCCAGGTTAACTCGCCTGAACCTTCACACTAACCAGTTAACCAGTCTCCGATCTGAAATGTTTGCGGGGCTTAGTAACCTTCAGTACCTTTATCTGTATCGCAACAACATCCACAGTATCGAGACAGGAACCTTCAATGTCACCCCGCAGCTTCGAACCCTGAACCTTTACAATAACCAGTTAACCAGTCTCCGACCTGACATGTTTGTGGGACTGGATAATCTGCAGTACCTTTACCTGTATCACAACAACATCCACAGTATCGAGGCAAGAGCCTTCATCTCCACCCCAAAGCTTCGCACTCTTCAACTTCAGAACAACAGCATCAGCACCATCGCAGCTGGCACATTTGTAAATCTGCACCGGCTAGAAACACTGAACCTTAACAGTAACCAGTTAGCCAACATCCGATCTGCCATGTTTGCGGGACTTAATAGCCTGCGGGCCCTTCACTTGAGTAACAACATCGTCAAAATTGCACCTGACACATTCGCAAATTTGCCACTCAGATACATAGACCTAACTTACAACGACATCGACACTTTCCCCGTTGAGGCCTTATCGAATTTAAATACTTCAACTGTATCGTACTATCTTAGGTTGTCGATGACATACAACCAGATGGAGACCCTCCCGTCCGCGGCATATGACATCCTGGCCTCTTTCACATACGCGTACATTCACAACAACCCCTGGCAGTGTGACTGCTTGATGCTCCCCTTTAAGCAAAGAATGAACGGTTCCTATCCATTTGAGAACCAGATCACCTGTGTCGGACCTGCTAACGTTACAGGGAAAAGCCTGTTACTCGCTGTAGAGGCTGAAGATTTGATCTGTGAAGAAACCACCACTACTGACAGTACCGGTACCACTCCAGGGGGGTTCTCAACTCAAAGCACCCCTCCAGGGGGGTCCTCAGTCCACAGTACCCCTCCAGGGGGGTTCTCAGCCCAAAGCACCCCTCCCGGTGGATCACCAACCCCTCCCGGTGGATCATCGACCCCTTCCGGAGAAGTCTCCCTTCTCATCGGCGTCCTTTGCGGGGTGGCCGGAGTCGTTCTCGTCTCGGCCGTTTCCCTGACGATCTGGTACCGAATCACGCGCAAAGTCAGCCCCGCCCCGTGACGTTAACGTTGTCAACTGTGCTGTAGACTGTTCTTACACTTACAACTGTCTTAAGAAGCGAGAAGAAGCTGCACCTGTACACACTAGCGGCACGCACTTAGCTTGTGAGAGCATAAATTACAATAAAGGTCTTTCTTCACCCATTGTATAAACCCCAGCAAAACAAACACTACTAGTATTATATAACAGTTTGTCTGACAGCCGCCCTTTTGGCACCCTTCTCGCTGAATTGCGAATCTTGTTAACATTGCTGCATAAATATATATCAACAGTTTATTCAACATGCCTTTTTTTCAAGTGGCATTCTAGAAGCAACTTGTACTTACAGTTTTATGGAGTTCAAATATCTTGAGATAATTTACAAGATAGAATGACTATTCCTGCCCATTGGTAGAAAGTTCAATCTTTGGCTTCCTGTTTATATATAATGTTTCAGGGTTAACTCTTCATTATAGTATATATAAATGTGTCATCACAAATATGACAATTGAAATTTGATGACTTAACAGTTACTAACTACTAAAAGTTTTATATTACACTATACATAAATGTGTTTTCACAAATATGACAATTAAAATTTGATCATGACTTAACAGTTACTAACTACTAAAAGCTGTGATGTTTGCTGTGAGAATATAACATTTGTCGACTTGTGTAGCCATGTAGAATAATGTGTGAAGTTTGTTTGCTGTAACCCCGCTGTGTGGTAGATTTTGTTTTAATTGTTTCCCAAAACAAGCTGCAGAAATTGATGGAAAGTAAGATTGAATTGTGTGACTTGCTATTGTTGACTTGCTATATTGCTGTAATTGTTTGATATTCCCAAATAAATCCCAGTCTGGAATTGAATTGAATTGAATTGAGCTTCTTCATTTCCAAAAAAAAACAAGCAAAACAGTGACGTGGCTATACTGAAAGAAGAAAATTAAACATGTAACGTTACTTGAAGTGATGGTGATATTAGTATGATATACACATGTTTTGATCATAAAAGAAGGGAGAAGGCAACAAAACGGTGTCCACTTACCAAATTTGGTGAATGATCGATGATGATATCGTGG